GTCAGGGGTCACCCAACCACAGAGAGAGGGGGCTGGACGTCAGGGGTCACCCAACCACAGAGAGAGGAGAGAGAGGCTCTGGCCCACCTGGCTTGTTCAATTAGTAATAGTGATCATTCAGAGTTTATGGCATTTAAACAGCACGACTCATCCCACAGGATACCAAAGCCCTTCACACACAGGAGGGGACCCAGTTCCTCCCCAGTGAAGAGCAGCCCCTCCTGGGAGACACACTGCAGCCCCACTGCACAGCAGCTCAGGGCAGGAGAGAGACACTGCTGCTCCAGGGGGTGAAGGGAGGACAGACTGTGCAGGAGCAGAGTGGGGTTTATCCAGGACACAGGGGTGACACCCCCACTCTTACAAGCAGGGTCCTGGGATCTTCAGAGAGCAGGGAGTCAGGACCTCAGGTTAATGTGTCATCTGAAGGACAGCGCCTCCTACAGCACAGAAATTCTGGACCAGAGTGAAGAGCCCCACCTACAGGCCCTACACCCTTGCAGCAGAGACCTGGTTTTCCTTAGAGCACTCCCATCTTCATACTGACCCGGCCCAAGCTACAAGGTGTTAAATAGCTGCTAAGGGTTTGATCCCCGAATATCTGCCAGAAGCCTCGGGGTGGACTCTGGACAGCCTACATCAGTGATCCAGCCAGAGCCTGTTTACCGAGGACTGTGGGAATCAGCCACTGTGCACAGACACGCTGACGGCACCCAACCCTGCACAGACGCATGTTTCTGTGGCCAAACAGAAAGTCGCAGGCTGTTGGATTGGCAGATATATTTTCTCTGACAATCGTTGACTCCAGACAACGTTTTCTGAGTTCTCTGCACACCTTCTCCCGATCCCTCCCAAGGATTCTCGTCATTTCCTGTTTCTTCACTTCCTGGTGAATTTTATTTTCTGTATCTGCTCCAAGTGCAAAGGTTATCAGCTTTTACTGGTCCTTCATAACCTATTGTACTCTACAGTTAATGCACATTTGGTCATAGTTTCCCAAACATTTTCCAGAAAAGTATATTTTGGTGCATTTTTCCATGACTTTTCCAGGCCTGTAAATTAAGTCTGCAGTTTCTCCAGGAAGCCAAGCTTGACCTCTGTCTGCTTGCTGCCGGGCAGAGTGACCACCTTGCAGTACTAGCCGCAGACACTAGGTGTCAGCACTTCCCCCTTTTCCGCACAGGAGGCGCTTTGGCAGACAGGCTGAAGCAATCTAGGAGCACAGCCCTTGGAACAGGGTTATGAAATTGCTCTTAAATGAGAAATATAAACTGTCAGATTACAATATACTCTTGCTTAACTGCATACTCTCACTTGCTTTCCCTGCAGAAAAATAACAAAAAGTATTACAGAAGTGTATTGTAATATTTGTATCTCTTTTGCACTAATATGATAAAAATGACTAGAGTATTTAGCTTTGGCCAATAATAAACTGTGTATGAAATCTAATCCACGGTGACCATCCTGAAAAGATCAGGAACACTGATCAGCTGACCAGTAGGTGGTGCTCTTCACTCTGGTCCAGAATTTCCAAACCAGTGACCAGTGTGGTGATGGGGGACTCCGTGCTGTAGGAGGCGCTGTCCTTCAGATGACACATTAACCTGAGGTCCTGACTTCCTGCTCTCTGAAGATCCCAGGACCCTGCTTGTAAGAGTGGGGGTGTCACCCCTGTGTCCTGGATAAACCCCACTCTGCTCCTGCACAGTCTGTCCTCCCTTCACCCCCTGGAGCAGCAGTGTCTCTCTCCTGCCCTGAGCTGCTGTGCACTGGGGCTGCAGTGTGTCTCCCAGGAGGGGCTGGGTCCCCTACTGTGTGTGTTGCAAGATAACATGAACATTGTGTATGGATGAAAAAGGCTTCCGAGTCTCCTACTGAGCTGGACATCATTCAGTGAAGAAGGCCAGTCCCAGGCAGGACGCTGGCCGGTAGCGGTACCGACACCGATGATCCAGACACAACAAGGCCACCAGATGGCAGACTCGGGCGCCTCACACAGCTACTGGCACAGAGAGCAGAGCTGCTTGCACTCCTCCCAGCATGCAACTTCACCACAAGTGACATCAAGCACCCACCACGCGGCGGGTCCTCCCCGCGCCGTGTGCCGTTCGGCCTCATCTTGTTGGCGTTACAGAGGTCCGTGCTGCAGCACGTGGTGTAGATGCTGGGGTGGCTGTGGCACTGCAGCTTGGCGTCGCCCGAGAAGCAGCCCCTCTTCACCGCCCCGTCGTTCTCGGTGTGAAAGCACACTTCGCCCCTGCAGGTCCGGCCCTTGCACGTGCTCAGATGCTCGCAGGAGCACTCCACCCACTGCGGCGCCGCGGGGTCTGGGGGGAGAGAGAGCTCCTTTCCCGCACACAGCCTGGCAGGCTGGGGGCGCCGACGGGACGCCCGTCCACCGCAGGGCACACACACACTCACACACGTGCGATTTGGAGACGTCAATTTGCCCAGGCATGCACACCCAAACGCACATGCACACACACAGACATACACAGGCGTGCGCTTGCACCGTTATTTACAGATGTCAATCAACATGCATGCACGCTTGTGCAGCAATTTAGACTCCATTAGCCAGCACAGCATGTGTTTTCCAGGTGGAAGAAAATCAGACCACAAGGAAAAAAGCCAATGTAGACCCATGGGAACATGCAAACTCCACACAGAGGGTGTCCCAATCCAGAATTGAACCCAGGAGGCAAGAGCTGTGAAACAGCTACCCCTGTGCCAACCTTACACACTCCCTCCCTGCCAATATTGCATCAGCTCGCCTCATTGTGAACCCTGGCACTCTGTGGGACGTGACCTCTGGTACTGGCGCCTGTCAGACTAGCTGCTTCCTTCGTGGGGGCAGGGTGTAGTGAGGTGCAGCGAGCCACAGGGGGGCGCTCTGTTGCAGCGACTCAACACAATCAAAGCAGCACTGTGTGCTGAGCAGGTCTCTGGGAAGGCTGAGTCTATCCCTGCTGATCAGAGGTTCCCAAAGCATACTGCGAAACCGTGATGAGCGCACAGGGCTTTTCTCTCCCAAGATGTGTTGTACATTTTCGGTCTTGTCTCTCTGCACCGGGGGGGATGGTGATGAAAGTGAGGAAGGAAGACGTCAGGCATGTGAGCAAGGGGGCAGGGCTGCGCTCTCTGGCTTGTGCGTGACAGAAGGAGCCGGAGAGGAAGTAAACAGGAAGCCGCGAGAAGACGCTGGGCAGGAGTCAGGAGAGAGCGACTGTCTCTGGGACTCCAGGACCTGGGGGAGGGGGGAGTCTGGGCGTCACACCTGGAGATTTATTCCACCCCCCCACACTCTTGCTTTATCGTCAAAATCAAACAGATTTCCTCCGAAGGTCTTTAAAGAAGGGAGTCTAAAAAACAGGTCTGAGAGACCCAGTCTGATCAGGAACATCCATTATCTGAAAGCTTCTTGTACCTGGTAAGGGCAGTGGGAGCCCAGAGCCTGTCCTGAAAGCACAAGGCACAGGGACGGGCTACACCCTCACACCCAGGACAC